AGGTATTTAAAAATGAATAGGGGTTTACTACAATCATTTTTTGATAATGTCAATAATTTCGGAAATAATCGCTCCAAAAGTAAAAATGTGTCCCCCCCCCCTCTCTAACTTTTGAACCATAAGTTTAGAAAATATGAAAAAAATCTGAAAAGTAGAACTTTATAAGGACTTTCTAGGAAAGTCACTTTGAACTTGGATGGAAACAATAGTACCCACTACCGGGAGCAGTTGCAGGAGCGCGGAGCGCTGCTGGAACCCGAACTTAATGGAGAACCTTTAAACTCATAAGTGGGAACACTTATTGTGACGGACGGGAAACTACGGAACCCTACACTGAACGTGGCCCGACACGCTCTTGGCCGGTTTTTCTAAGATAATTACGAGGATAATATCCTGAAATGCAGCATATTATTTTGGTGAGGTATCATTAATTTTTGTAACATTTTTTGTTTTTTATTAATCCAAGTAACATATAATAATAGAAACAAATCACAAAAACATGACCTTTAACGTATTTTTTATTGCTTTTACGCTTCACTGTTTTCTATCGTGGTTTTATACTAGAATCTATCAATGTGGCGTTATATAGATTTAATATAACCAAAATTCATTTATTTTAAGATTTTTTATTCCATGATGTTATATAATATGTGTTAATGGCATGCAAATAGGGTTGTTTAAAGCTCGGCTCAATATAAGGTAATCACTTCGATATAACAGATAGACACATCAATTTTCTTTATATGTACATATTTTGTCTATGCATAGATTATGAAATCAATGTCGACATAGTTATTGGTGCGGCTGGTTTTAAGTACTTGAAATTTGCAGTGTTAAGATTTTTTTTTTTAGTAAACACCTAATGAACTACATTGGTGCAATATTTCAAGTAAAAATTGTCTGGGCTTTTAATGAGGGAGACGGAGAATGATAAAATTGTAACTTTGAGACTATAATATCTCAATAACTATTATACTGTTATGCATGAAATTTGAGATTATATGAATTCAAAGAGATCTTATTGGGCATGCAAAATTATAATTGTGTAAGTCTAATTGCTTTTAAGTTATGGGGTGTTTGAAAGTGACTCAAAATGTTTCGTGTAAATATTTACTTAGATAATATCAGTACAAACGGAGGTGCTCTTATTATTTTGCTTTTATTATTTTTATCGTGTTTGTTAAATTAATGTTTTTCTATTCTAAGAATAAAATAGTATGTGATTAAAACTACTTTTACGGATTTTATCGCGTTTATTTTTTCTTACTTTTTATTTTTATTTTTAATTCCCGACGTTTCGGGCGCTTTCCAGCACCCATGGTCACGGGGGACTGAGATGACTGACGTCCCGATGTCATTGTTAAACCCGGAGTACCTTCAGCTTTTTTTAATTATTATTAAAAATAAAAATAAAAAGTAAGAAAAAATAAACGCGATAAAATCCGTAAAAGTAGTTTTAATCATGTGCAATGTTCGCGTAAATATAAGAAATCATTAAAATAGTATGGTTATAAAATACGAATGTAAATATAATGAACACAAGTTAGGTTGCAATGAACCTTTCACTACGGCGCTTCGTTTTAAAATACCAAATTCTTCTGCGGGTGTACTTCGCGGTGACGGCGCCTTTGACAAAATGCGGTACGTGACAAAGTTGCACGACACAAAGGTGAACGCATCTAAGGAAACAAACTATAAACATTGTTTTTGTGTCGCCATAATTTATTATAAACTTTGCTGAAACACTGCAATGTATTTAGTCTAAATAAGTAATATAATTATATGTCAGAATTATTATATCACCAAACGAATTCGCCTTGTCGAGATTACAGATTTTTGCACTCTTTTTACCATAACCTATAAAGTTATTTCAAATTTTCTTTATCTCAGACGTTCTTAACGCAAGGTAATTCAAGATTTAAAAAAAGGTTTTGGCAAATTGGACTCTACTATACGTGTCAGTGTGTATCACTAGACTCTTGGTAGGCTTCAATTTATGAATGAAAAATACTGATGATAATGATAATTAGGAGCGCTCACACTTGCACGACGATAGTAAACAGGAAATAATCCATACTTTTATACAAATAAACGAAATTGAAGGGTATGTTTGTAATGTCTAAATGACAGCTTTCTACTAAATGTTATATGAAAGTACAGACAGTACTAACAAAAAAAAAAACACAACTTTTAAAAAAATCGCTTTCATTATGGCTGTCAATATAATTGCCGAAGTGACTGGACCGATTTTGGCAGAATTTTCTCTGGCAGATAGTTGATGTTATAAGGAGTAAATTATACATTTATTTTAATTAAATTCAATCGTAACGAAGTCGCGGGCGAGGACTAATAATATGTGAAATAAATAATTTGCTGTTTGTTTCTACTGGAACGTTCTTCACGGCCATTGAGGCCTTTGCAGTGAACTTAGGATGGACTCTGAGGAATTGTTCGGATTAATTCCAGCCGCCAAATTTCACGAACTCCCAATACCATCCACACCATCTGGTTAATTGGCGGTCCACCACTGTACGTTTTACTAGGAGTTTTCTTCGACGTACGACCTCTCTGTGGAATAATTTACCACCTGCGATTTTTCCGGACTAATCGACTTAGGGACCTTCAAGAAAAACGCTTACTCGTTTCTTAAGGGCAGTTGTTGCAGTTGTTCATAGGCGATGGTAGTCACTTAACGTCAGGTGTGCCGTATGCTCGTTTAGCCCCTCTCCTATAAAAAGTATAAAAAATTTAGTGATGTTGATAGCGGTAATAAAATAATGAAAAAAAAAAGAGTTCCAACAACATTCTCCTTGTAACTGTTATCGATAAATTTTTAGACTTTTACATAATGTTAATGCAACCTCATTCCTTTTCATGTTTAAATGTAGAATTGCGCTTACAATTTACATTTGAGTTTATTACGGAAAATTTGCAATAAGGCCTGTTTCAACTTTATACACAAGTATAAACTAAGCATTCTTTCAAAATTTCGAAAAAGTCAACCATATATTTCAGTCCGATTTATGATGCAAGTTAGTGAATGTTATTACATGCGTCTAGATATATAGTAAACCGTACGCATGTTTTATTTTTTAATAAAACTCTACTCTTTTTTACTTTACCTTACACTTAAACTATAGCCTTCTCGTTCTCTCATGTACAGTATGATTAGCAATTGTACAACTCTTATCTTCTAAAAACAATAACTTACACTTTTATAAAGTATACTTACTCACTTCAGAATAACCAATGATGTCCTCAGTGTGGCATATTGTAAGTAATTTCTTGGCTTACGATTCTATTTTTATAATTCCTTTGTTCATCATGTCGGAATTTTAGTTATTTTCTTATGTTACAGCTGCATTTACCGTTACACTTATTAAAGCCTATTAAAATCTACTGCTTAACAGAATGCTTAACTTGGAGGCCTCCCATAGGTAACCTCATTTTAGTTGTAATTGGGAAGACACTGATGCCTATTTCCTTTGTTTCCCCCTGCCTCCTCTTGCAACTCCCACGGGACGATTTGAGTGGTAATGACTAATAATATGAGTGGATATTGCCAACACCTTCATTTATTTTAGCTAATATTTTAACTTGGAAGTTGTGACTATCACGTGGTTTGTTCGTTCTATTTATCTTTTATGGTACAGAATTGTCAAATTTATGTTCGAAAATGTAACTGTTTGCTGTTACTATAAAATAAAAAGGTGATCAATGAAAATTGTAACTATTGTAGTTACATTGTAATAAGATTTCTCTTTAGAGGCATTGTGTTCAAGTAACTTTGTTATCTCGGACATACAGCTGGCGTTGCGAGAATTTTCCTACAATGCCAAATTTCAAATGACCACTTAAGCTCCAAATGTCGGTATAATTTCGGGATTTTTGAGTCAGTGACAACACATTTATTTTTAAACTATAATTAATATCAAACAAGTCGACTCCTTCGTGGCCACCGTTTTTAAATTACGAGTACATAATCTGATGAGTCAGATAAATTAAATAGTTTAAAAATGAATTTCATACGCTATTAAGCAACAGAATTTTTCATTAAATTGTGTGGTATCTAATTAGCTCATCGGTTAGATGCTTATCTTAAATTTCATAGTATTCTGCTTCACTAAATCGGTTCGATTCCCACCAACACCGTTTACATTGTTAAACATTTGATTGCAGGGCGCTAAGAAAACTATCATTAAGAAATTTCAATTTCTACGTAAAAGGTGGTATTAATATATTAACAATTAATTAATATTAATATGGACGTGTAAAACATAACAAAATACTCATAATGCAATAATTTTAAACGGCATCAGTTTTGGCCTCATTTTTATGTATTGCTACAATGTGGAGTGCACTATAAGGCGTAGTTCAATGCTTACAAAATAATGGACGTAATTAAGTTAGCTACTTACTTATAACATTTCCAGATTCATTTTTTTAGTCATTATCTTAGGGTGTGTAGTAGTAGTAAGTAAGTATTTTTTTTACTATTTTAGCCAGCGCATAACAACTATCCCACCTGATGGTAAGTGTTAATGCAGCCGAAGCTGGTGAAGCGCAGTGACAAATGCCGATTCACTCTTACCTTCTCTCATAAAAATCCCTACAATGACCTAAGTTCATTTGGTTTCTACGTGTTCTTGTTTGTGTTGCCCCAGTATGCCAAACTTCCATAATTCGTAATCTCTTTTTCTTTTCTTACTAAAGCAACGATGTCGAACTAAAGTTGGTTACTTACTGCCATAATATTTTAATTTCTAAGATAGTTATAAAGCAATGCCAGTGGTATGGTATTGTATGAAGGTTTTACTTACTGGTGGTTAGTTAAAATAATATTTAGCGGAAATTTCTAACAGTGATCATTTTATTAGTATTCTACTTTATAATATATTTCAATTGCAACATTTTATTATAACAGTCAGTCAAGTCAAAATTCACTCTATTTCACTCTACATTAATAATCTAAAATGTTAATTGAAGTAAACAAATTTTATTTAAAAGAAACCACACAGATCTGTTGTTTTCTTGGGGTACGCACCCCCAAATAATCTAACTGGCGTTTTGTTCCAATCTATGTAAAGATAAGGATTTTTTTCTAGGGAAGAGTCTTGTAAGGAACATCTCTTATAATTTTGCATAATAAATTCTATACCTATATTTTTATCTTTGACAGGTGATACTATTCGAGTCCGATCAATGGTACCATCGGGTTGTACATATAAAACATTGTCACTTAACTCAATGTTTTTACAAACATTCAACTTAAGAGAAGAGCGGGTTTTCCCATATTTGCCTTTCTTGTCAAATCTAAACTGATAAATTTCTTGAGCTTTGTCATCACCTCCTAATTTTTTTTGATGATTTTGTTCTGTTTTTAGGCCAACCATAGATCGTTCGTTTATAAGGTTTCTTAAGGTAACCTCTTTGTTTAAATCATCTTTACCGTTAGAGAAACTTTGTTTCAAGTTTGTTTCAGGAGCTTCGTTTATTTTATCAGAAGATTTTGAACGATTTTTCTGTTTTGGTAAGAATCCTCGATTGTATTTACGTATTGAGATAGATTCATGTTTATTAAATTGATTTGATACTTCCTTAGCAAGAGCACGTCCCTCTATAATAGTTACGTCTTTGGAACTTGTCATAAATTTTCGATATTCGGGCCTATAGTTAAGTCTTACAGAATGAAGCTTCTTATTTGCTTCTGAAATATGAGTATTTTTCTTAGATCCATCGGTATCCAGGTTAACACGACGTGGAGTAAAATCATTATTATAAGTTTGCACGTTGTGCCATTTATTTCCTTGAGATAGACTTCTGGCGTACATATCATTATTTTTTATTTCATTTGAATTTACGTTATCCGAATCATCCATCAAATATTCAGCTGATTTTATAAAAGGCAAAGCTGTAAGAATATTACTTTTTTCGTTTCCTTCGGAATGAAATGGATGTTTTGTAAGCTTAATATTTATTTTTGGTGACTTTGTATGCAACTTAGGTTCATAAATTCCTGCACGTAATTGATATTCATTAGACGTTTGGCTATCAGTGTCTCTATAAAATCTGTTCTGAGCATTAAATTTCTTTGTTACATTTATTATTATATTTGTGTGTCTCGATGAATTACAATACATTTTTTTAATTTGAATATCATTTTTTCCTATTCTATTAATTATCTTTGAGTCTTCAACATCACGTTTATCAAAGTGCTTGTCTTCGAAATTTCTTCTTTGAAATTTAAGGGGTGTATGTACTTTAGATCCTTTGAAATCTGTAGGATACTGGAAATTATCTGATATTTTAACAAGTGGTATACTTGCCGGTACTTTAATAGGTTCTCTATTACGATAGTTTATTTTTTTCAGATAATTTAAAACGCTTCCAGCATACTTAGAGCTAGTCCATTGCTCATATATACTTGATTTATTATCTGGTGATACAAATGTGGTATCGGATAGTATTCCTTTGTTTTGTTTAGTATTTAAACTTACATTTACTTTATTAAAGTTGGCATCTAAGTCATATAAAGATGGGTTTTTAGGTTTTACTGACTTGTAATGAATACGTTTTGGCATTGCTGAAGATAATGTCTCCCATATAGGTGTAGTAGTAGTATGTAAATTACTAGGTGCAGCATCCCCTTCTACCTCCACGTTGTTTCTAGGATGTCCTTTAATTTTGGCTTCATTTCCAGCTTGATGTAATAGACTCCAAAAATTTATTTTAGATTTATCTGTGGTTAATATAGGATCAATAATTGAAAAGTCCATGATTTCTCTTTCATTCGATTCAGTAGCTGATTTCGGACGAAACGATATATTATCTATTTTAATGTTATTTTCACTAAAGCTGTATGGAAGTGCAAAATGTATATAATATTTTGTTGTTTTAGGAGATGAAGGTGGTTTAGTGGTTTCAAAATTATTTTTTATTTCATAAGAATCCATTGAACCAAGCACAATATATTTCAAATTTCTGTTACCAATTACCCTATTTTGAAGAAATAGTTTTTGTTGATATAATGGATCCCTTTTCAATGTATGATTTCTTTCTATTGTAGATCTTAATATCATATTCACTCCGAACACTTCGCCTTCTAAGCCGCTTGGTATCACTGAAAGAATATTTTTAAGTTAGGGTAATTGTTTAACTTATAACTCGTAATATTATAAAAAGAATTACCATTACTGGTGCCATATCCAATTATCACGCTTCCACCCCCGGGCAAAACGAAACCAAACAACTGTAAAAAGCAAATGTTTTTGTCAGTGAAATACATTTCATTTTATTTAAGATTTTACTTTATTAACGCGCTCAACTGTATATTAATCGTGATGAAAAAAGAGAGTAATATCAAATGATGGGTTAAGTTCGCCCCAAGGTAATGTTTTCGAATTGAGTCCTTGAAGACCTTTTTGTTAGATTTGGAATTAAGTAGTACACATTAAAGAAATTTTCTTCAATAGTTAATCTCGGGACTTCATATTACATACAGCACAACACACACACACACACACACACACAGGCGCGCGCGCGCGCGCAACCACGCACGCACGCACGCACACACCCACCCACGCAAGCACACACACACACACACACACACATACACACACACACACACACACACACACACACGCACACGCCCACATCATTTATTAATTTAAGTCTATTACTCACAGTTTGCATTGTTTCACAGGTCACATGCCTTCCGTCCATATATAGTGCCCAAGCTCCATAATCGGATTGATAGGATAGGCATATATGTTTCCATACATCTCGTACAATTTCTACAGAAAATTTTGTGGCAACTTTTTCGTTTATTGAAACTTTCATAAACTGACCTCCAGAGTCCAGCCACAGCCGTATAATTCGATTTCCGTTTACTGGAATGAAAACGTACGTTCATAAATTCAATACAAAAAAAGAACTTCAACTAGACCGTGAAGTGGCCAATCAAGTACTCATTAATAATGTATATTACCTCACTACAACGCTTCCTTCCATTTGGAAAATGATTGCGAAATTCTTGTGATGTTTTACTAGCTACAGTTTAATTACATTAGCGATTAAATCGAGGAACTCTTTGACAATCTTGTTTTGAAGTTCCAGTGGCTAGTGTATATTTAAAAGTATTAATTTTAAATTTAAATTTGATTCAAATATCTTTATAAGCTTTATGATGATTTCCTATATTAACGCAACGTAGACATTTATATAAAATTAGTTTTTGCGAATTTTATCACGTATAATAAGTTATTTTATACTACCGACGTTTTGAGGACTTTAGCACCCCTATTCACAGGGAATGAGGTGTTCGACGTCACGATATCCACTACAGCTACTACCAAATTAAAATTATAAATTTTCCTCCTTAGAGATCCCTTTTTTAATACTCTTCTTAGCTTTCCCGTCTATAAATCCGGTTTTTTTTCCTACTCCTTTTCTGTTTACGCGGTTAGCTTATGGAACTCACTACCGCCTAATATAATGGTCACCACACACGGTCAATTCAACTGATCATTCCAACTGATCAGTTCAAATGAAACTGTTATAAACTTATATATAAAACTCCGATATTGATATATTTATAATTATCAATATATCGAAAATTCAATATTTTAAAAAATATCGACAGTTTCAATTTGAACTGATCAGTTGGAATGATCAGCTGAACTGACCATGTGTGTCGTCCATAAGAAATTCCGAAACTTTATTGGCATTTAAGAAACGTGTAAGAGATAATTTCCTTGCATCCTGTTAATTAGTATATTCTTCTTCTTCCATCCCTGATCCCGTTATTTGGGGTCGGGTCTCCTCACTTGTCTGCGCCAAGACAAACAGTCTTGGGTTGTCACATCCGGCAACTGGGCTTTCCTTAGGTCTCTTGCGATATTAGACCACCATGTCATTGGCGGGCGTCCTCTGCTTCTCTTTGTTTCTGGCAAGCTTAAAGCTATTTGAACTGCATGATCTTCGCTGCGTCTTTTAATATGTCAATACCACGTTAGGCGATTTCCAATGATTTTATCTGTAATAGGTGCGACTTTAAAGCTGCCACGTATATGTTCATTACGGACTTTGTCAAGCTGAGTCACACCTCCCGCCCACCTAAGCATCTTCATTTCGTTAGTATAGACCTTTTGCTCATGCGTCTTTTTTGTTGTCCAACATTCAGAACCATACAATAGCACGGGACGTACTGCGGATTTATATATTTTGCCCTTCGTTTTTATGGAAATACGTGGATCACACAATACCCCAGTAAGTGATCGCCATTTCAGCCACCCGGCACTTATTCTATGGGCCACGTCTGTGTCAACATTTGCATCTGTGGTAAGAATAGAGCTCAAGTATTTAAATTTATCTACTGTAGGAATAGGTGTTGTCCCAATACAGATAGTTTTAGATACCGTGTTTCTACTGAAAGGGCATTTCAAATACTCAGTTTTACTCCTACTCACCCTCAGACCGTACTTTTCAAGAGCGTGTGTCCACGTATTAAGAGTTTCCTGCAAATGGCTTGCGGTATCAGCAGCTAAGACAATTTCATCCGCGTATAGAATAGTCCATGGCAATGGGGCAGGTATATCCTTAGTGAGGTAGTCCATCACCAGATTGAATAGGAGGGGACTTAGAGCAGATCCCTAATGGACACCCACTTTGACTTTAAAAGCTTTACTCACGCCGGTTGGGCTTCTGACTCTCGTGTTGGCCTTGCAGTACATATCTTTTATAAGTTCGATATAATACTCTGGCACCCTTTGGGCACGAAGTGCCTGCCATACCAGCCTACGTGGAACTTGATCAAAGGCTTTTTCTAGTCTATGAATGCTAGGTGTAGGTCTTTATTGTTTATTTTATGTTTTTCCACCAGTATTCTAATCGTTTGGATGGCATCAATAGTTGATCTGGATGCTGAAAAACCTAACTGATTTGGAGATATTTCAGCAATGTCAGTGAGCCGTTTATTAATAAGTCGTTCCCATATTTTAAGTGTATGTGAGGTCAATTTAATACCTCTATAGTTTTCACACTGCGTTACATCGCCCTTATTTTTATAGAACGGTAGTAGATAGCTTTGACGCCAAGCGTCCAGAATGCGATTAGTCGTTAGAATAATGTTTAAAAGCTTGGTTAACCATACTGCCGCTATTGTACCAAAGCCTTTCCATACATCCGCTGGTATCTCGTCTGGGCCTGTAGCTTTTTGGTTTTTCATTTTGGCTATTGCCTGTTTGACTTCAGCTATATCCACCTTGGGTATTGGTCCAGATGTAGATTTGCAGGGTGTAGGGTCTTCATTTGGAAATTCTTCATTTAATAGTTGTTTATAATATTCATACCATCTATCCATAATTTGTGAGTTGTTTGTTAACAATTTCTGGTCTTTACTTTTAATGTATTTGTTTGTCTTTATATCCCTAGTGGTCCTGTTTCTAAATTTTGCTACTTTTAATACTTCATCTACAGTTTTAGCATTTTCCAAATTATTGTAGAAGGCTTGGTTGCTAATTGCTCTTTCTATGGCTACACATTTCTTTTCCTGTTTCTTTGCTTCGTTATATGAGTTTTTGTCTTCATCTAGTTGCGAGCTTTGCCATTTCTTAAAGAGGTCTTTCTTATTCGCTAGAGTCTTCTTCACATTGTCATTCCACCAGTTAGGATCCTTCTCATTTCTGGGTGGTCCTTTGGAGACTCCCAGGATTTCTGCTGCTTTAGCTCTAAAATGCGCTTCAAACTTAGACCACATATCTTCGGCGTTTTCGTAGTTCACTCCAGTATCAGACTCTACGTATTCCGTTATTACACCTCGCAGTGATTCGCCCTTAGAGCTATTCAGATCTTTCCACTTAGTACGCGGTTCAATGTTCTATTATATCCTGTTAATTAGTATATTATTTTATTAAATTAGTATGTTTATATATATATATATATATATATATATATATATATATATATATATATATATTATATGCAATCATGTAAGAGAAAAAATATCTACAAGTGCAATGAAAAATATTGTATTAAGTCTACAGCTCAAACCGCTAGACGTAGATGCGTGAAATTGGAACACTAACTTCCTTTTGTTAAGTAGAAATCCACTAAGCAAGAATTTTTGGAAATTTTGAATCCATAGATAGTGACATAAGGTTTTTAAGAATCTTTTTTTACTTTTTGATTTCATATTTGTATAGGAAAAATTTATTAAATATATTTGTAAGTTGAAGTGATTGAAGTAAACGCAATTGTAGAAAGTGAGGCTATTGAAAATGTTTTCATATTAAGTGATTTTAATGCGCATCCAGGTAAGCTTTTTGGTAATGAATTATTGAACTTTTGTTCAGAATGTTTGTGGTCGTGCGTGTATATGAATGTGTTTTCATTAGACGCATATACGTTTATTAGTGAGGTACATGATAGTCAGCGCTGGCTTGACAATTGTATTGTTACTGAAGCGGCTCAGATTTTAGTTGTTGGCGCAAAAGTATTATATAGTTTATATTATTCTGATCACCATCCAATGCAAATAGAGTGTAACATAAGCTTGATTAGAAGTAACAGTGTGAAAAATAAATAAGACGGCATGTAAATAAGACGACATGGGGTGAAACAAATGATAACAAAATAAATATGTGTAGGCAGATATGCATTGTGAAATTAAGTGAGATAGACTATCCGCAGCAATTTGCAAAGTGTTGTGGTAAAATGTGTACAGACCATAGTCATAAGTGAACATTAGATGACATGTGTTGTAAAATTGTAGGAGTTCTAAGTGAGGCGGCGGAACAAACTTATATATAGTAAAAGCATAAGAAATATGTGATTGGCTGGAATTGATATGTTAGAAACGCCCACAGAGAGGCTCGTGTAACTTTTCAAGTCTGTAGCAAATGTGTGATAAACCATGCGCCGGAAATGTATACTATAATATGTGTAATACTAGACGTAATTTTAAAGCAAAGTTAAAATTGTTTTAAGATAACGTAGAGAAAATAAAATGGATAAAATGGTATCGTGTCATGCTAAAGTACATTTTCAAGAATTATGAAAGCATACTGGTAGATTAAATCGTCGCCTGAGCCTCCCTGCTAGTGTCTCAGCTGTTAGTGGAGCGAGTCAGTTAGAAAATCTTTTCAAAAATTATTTTAAAATTGTATCTCCCCTAGGCCCCTCAACACAATCGATAGATGGGCAATATCAGCAATCGGCGATCAGTGTAAGAATCACAGTAAATCAAATAGATGCTATTATTAAAATATAAAGCGTGGAAAATCTCCA